CAGGTAGAGTATTCCAGACATTGATCACTGTTGCTGAAGTCATATTTCCTGCAGTCAAGTTTAGTGCAGTTAACCTTGAGTTTGTATCTATTGTGTGCTCTTGTATTGTTACAGTTGAAGCTGAAATATTCATTGACTGGTAGGGCATTGCAATGTGTGATTGTATGTACTATACTTAGATTGGACCGAAGGCGGTGTAGTTCTAGGTTTTCTAGTTCTAGAATTTCAAGTCTAGTGGCATAAGGTATTTTGCAATGAGTAGAGGAGTGGAGAACTCTTGTGAAATATTTCTGGACTTATTTCTCAACTGTATTAATATCAGATACGTAATGTGGGTTCCAGACTGATGAGCTGTATTCAAGTATTGGTCTAGCAAAAGTTTTGTATGCTCTAGTTAGTAGTGTGATATTACCAGAGAAAAAGCTACATAAGATTAGGTTAACAACTCTTTATGCCTTTTTGGCTATGTAGTTACAGTGGGCTCTAGCACTTAGATCATTAGAGATGAATACTCCAAGGTCCTTGGAAGGCTGAGTAGACCTTGAACCTGGGGAGATTGGAACTGCCAAACTGTTGGCAGGCAGCAGATTAACAGGGTTGGAAGGGACCTCATAGTAGGTCATCTAGTCCAAGCCTCTGCCCAAGCAGGAGACCCTACGCCAAGGGTCTTCCAACTTGTGGACTTCCAATTCCCAAAATTCCTGAGCTAATATGACTAGAGGCGGAATTCTGGGAGTTGAAGTCCACACATCTTAAAGCTGTCAAGTTTGAAGATCCTGCCCTACACCAGAAGTAGCCTGCGCCACCATCGCTGGAGGAAGAAAAGACTGGACAGCCACCTGTCTGGAAGGGTCTCCTGCTTGAGCAAGGGATTGGACTAGATGTCCTCTAAGGTCCCTTCTGGCTTTCTATTCTGATGAATGGGTGGATGGATTTCTTGTTGGCTCAGCCTTTGCTTTAAACCAAGGGTCTTCCAAATTTACAGCTTTAAGGCTTGTAGACTTCAACACCTGGTCATTGTTAGCTCAGGAATTCTAGGAGTTGAAGTCTTAAACTTGCCGAGTTTGAAGACCCCTTGCTTTAAATTGTTCTTCCAGTGTTTTAGAAGGGGAGGTGCAAACTCTTTCTCTGCAGATTGACTATCTCTGGCTTGTCCACAGGAAAGAGGTTCAGTGTCTGGAGGCTCTTCACTACACGCGGCCAGGAAGGAAAGGAGCAGAATAGACGCCATGGGAAGAAGCCCTCAAGATGGACATGCCAAAGTCAGGCAGAGAGTGGAGAGGAGTTCCAAGCCCTCCTGCCGCTGAGCCGGAGGAGAGAGGGGAGGTCTGGCCCGGAGCCAGGCAGGAGCCCCTACCTGAGAAGCTCCTCAGCTCAGAGGTCGAGTGTTTCCGCCGCTTTTGCTACCTGGAGTCCGCGGGATCCCGGGAACTTTGCAGCCTTCTGCAGCAGCTTTGCCATCGATGGCTGAAGCCCAAGAAGAGCAGCCGAGCTCAGGTGGTGGACCGGGTGATTGTGGAGCAGTTCTTGGCCTTGCTGCCCCCGGAGATGGCGGGCTGGCAGAGGGATTGCGGGATGGAGAGCTACTCCCAGGCGGTAGCCCTGGCCGAAGGCTTCCACTTCAGCCAGGCCGAGGAGCAGAGGCAGCAGGTGAGAGAATCAATCCTTTTGGGAGGATCCTTTTGGGAGATAATTTCCTTTCACTGGCCAGGGTGTCAGCAACCCTCTGCTCTCCCCTTCCAGTCACTCCTTCCCTGGCCTGAGAAGGTAAAACACAAAAAAACAGAAATGAGAGGGAGAGAGAAAGAGACCCATTTCCCACAGAAAACACCGCGAGCCACAAAACCCATGGAGGAGTGGCCAGGGAGGGGTCATGTGACTGGGTGGGAGTGACGTTGAGTTGGCCACGCCCACCTAGGTTTTGAGGCTCCCAGTGTTTTCTATGGGAAACGGGTCCAGGTGGCTCTTTGAGTGTTTAAGGTTGCGGGCCTCTGCCTGTCTGCTTCAAATGCACTTTGTAGCAATAGAAGAAGCTTTGGTTTCCCTCCATTTCATCCCCAGAGTGGTGCTTCCCCATCCAGATTATTCCTCAGAAGGGAAGAGAATCCCAAGTGAATTTGCATTTTCCCTAAAATGGTCCAGATTTGAAGGCATAGAACACAGGTGTCACGCAGAGCCATTTGTGCGGGGACGAGAGCCCAGCCAAACTTACCTGTACTGCACATGCATGCTCCTCCCAGCTGATCTTCGGCCCGTTTGAGGCCATTTTCACACCTCCTGGAATGTCGTAATTTTCATCTGTATCAATATTATTTTTGTACCAAAACAAATGATACTCAGACCCTACACTGTCCATGAAATGATATTGATTTATGTTTACAAATAAAAATAAAAACTTTACCAAAAAAAAAATGAATTCCAGGGTTCGGTGTCCTTTGAGGAGGTGGCTGTATATTTCACGGAGGAGGAGTGGGCGCTGCTTAATCCCAGCCAGAGAGCCTTGCATGAAGAAGTCATGCTGGAGAATTTTAGGAATGTGGCCGCTCTGGGTAAGGACCTGTTTTGCTTTGGGCTCAGTTAATTGTGGAAAGTCTTTGTCAACTAAAAAAATACTCGTTTGGTCTTTTTAGTTGCCAGCAGAAAAGGAGTGAGGGAAACCAGTGCATTCCTTAAATGCCTCAGATAATCACCTTGGCTGCCCAAAGTTGTCAGCGTGCAAGAATATTACTGGAGAGCATAATTGATGACTCTTGCTTATGGATGTATCCCATTGGAGAATATACATCCAAGGGGTGGGAGGAAGATCAGAGTCAAGGGGGAAATGAATGATGTATTTTAGTGTCAGACCACCTAGCTAACGCCAACATGGCTACTCTTAATAAATCTTTTTTTTAATTTTCACTCTGGGAGATTCTAGCACCTAGCTAGAATAACCACAGGAAGAATGTGACCTATATCTGTCTGACTTCTGTTCCTCATAACGACTGATTTTCCTAGGTTACCTAATAACCAATGGCAGTTCTCATACTGGCTGTTTGGTCAAAGGGCCGTCCTTTGGCTCTGAGTAAATCATGTATAAATTCCCTGTAGGGCTGAGAAAAAGTGCTATTTCTCTGAGTACTTCAGTCCAATATTGTTTTTTTCGGCAGCTTTTAAAAAAAAACTGGGAAGATTTCAAGAAGTTGCATCAGTTTAAATTCAGTTAGTACTGGACTAGACAAATGTCACACCAACTGCCGCCTAACATAAAGATGCTTTTTCAGGAAGCAACTGGTCTTTCTTGTCTCTTTCTTTGAAGATGTTTCTCTTCTCATCCAAGAAGCTTCTTCAGCTCTGCCGGGATGGTGGGGAATGGAAGGATTAAAATCACTGGTCATTTGCATTCTTTTAGAGTCGTTGAAGCCACCTGTAGGTTTTTCTGTGTCCTCAGGGTCACCTGACTAGGGCAAATGGGTGTGGAGCCTTCTTGGAACAGTCCTTTCAACAGTTGTCTGCAAGGAGTATAAATCTTTCCATTCCCCACCAACCAGTCGGAGCTGAAGAAGCTTCTTGGATGAGAAGAGAAACATCTTCAACGACAAAACGGAAAGTCCAGTTGCCTCTTGAAAAAACAACTTTGGGACAATCATGACCTGGTTGACTGAGAATCTCCATATATCAGTAGATGGTGGTGAGGGTTGTGGATGAGCCCAGTGGCGGTAGAGCACGTAGATTCTGTTGCTTGAAGCCAGCCAGTGGCAGAGATCCCAGCAGAAGGGAGCTATGATGGATGCCAGGGAAGAAGAAGATAATAATTGCACAGAGGAGGAAAGGAAAGAAGGTCCACTGGGGATGATGGTAGTCGAATACCGCATTGTCTTCCTCTTGGCCATGCTTTACAGGGTGAGCAAAAGAACACAAATATGGGAGGGAGATAGATCAGGGGCTGCTGAAGCCAAGGCAATTCTACAATCCCCTTGAAAGTGTCCCTTGCTTTAGAAGAATGGAGTCCAGTGGACAATCTGTACAGCATAGGGCATTTCCAAATATAATAATAAACGTCAAGGCATCAATTGAAGAGGTCCACAATTCCTTCATCCGTTTAATTCTTAATGGCCTCTTCTGATCATTTAGTCTTTGGATAAAGATTAGATTTTTTTCCCTAAAAAACAACAACAAATACCTCATAAAATTAAGAGGGAACAGTTGCAGAGGCATTACTAAAAATAAAATAGAAATGTGGTTCCTTACAGGCGTACAAAGAGAAATTCAGTAAAATCTTAGATATACAGAAGTAACAGGTGCAGCTTTTTTTCCCTATTGTGAATATAGTGATTAACTTTTTTCCCCTTTCTTTTTCAAACCAGGTTACAGGCAGAAGCAAAATAATTTTAAGGAGACCAGGGTAGCACTATTGCAAATGATCAAGTCTGAAGAAGGCATGCTTGGTAATCAAGGGGCATCACGAAGGAGTAAGAAAACCTGCATAATGAATGGAAGGAAGAGTTCTCCTTCTTTTGAATATAATGCATTCCATGACTTCCCAACTCAGCTAGTTCAACAACGAAAAGATAAAGGAAAATATAGTGGATGTGATGAGAGAGGCAACAAGAAGGTTGATTTCCATAAATACCAGACTGAAGAGGAACAATACAAAAATCAAAACGACGGGAAGAGTGTCAGTTATACCTCTTCCATTAATTTACATCACCAGTCGTATCTCAAGGACACACCGTATGCACCTGCAGATTGTGAGGAAAGTTTCAATTTGAGCAGTCATCGTATTTCCGATAACGGTGGAAAACAGTGTGAGTACGAAGAAGGCTTCACTAAGAAACGGTTGCTTATTTTACCCTCAGAAACTCCCCCAAAGGAGAAACCCTATAAATGTTTGCAGTGTGGAAAGGCCTTTTCACAGAGATGTAAATTTACTATCCACGAAAGGAGCCACACAGGGGAAAAACCGTATGTGTGCCTGGCCTGTGGAAAGACCTTCACACAGAGATGTAAGCTCAACATACACGAAAGGATCCACACAGGGGAGAAACCATATATATGCTTGGTGTGTGGAAGACGATTCAATCAGAGCGGTCACCTAACAAGACACAAAAGAACTCATACTGGGGAGAAGCCATACACATGTCTGAAGTGTGGAAGGAAGTTCAGTGAGAGTTCAAGCCTTGTGATGCACGTAAGAAGCCACACGGGAGAGAAACCATACATATGTACGGAATGCGGAAAGAGCTTCCGTCAAAACAGCGTCTTTGTTTGCCATAAAAGGATCCACACTGGAGAAAAACCGTACAAATGCACCGAGTGTGGAAAGAACTTCAGTCAGAACAGTAGCCTTTTGAAACATAAAAGAATTCATACAGGGGAAAAACCATATCAATGCCTGGACTGTGGAAAGAGATTCAGTGTACGCTCAGATCTTACATATCATCGGAAAATGCACACAGGAGAGAAATCGTTTAAGTGTTTGGAATGTGGAAAGAGTTTCAGTTGCAGCCGTTACTTTATTCGCCACAAAAAGATCCACACAGGGGAGAAACCATACAAATGCCTGGAGTGCGGAAAGAGTTTCAGTCAGAACAGTCATCTTGTCAAACACAGAAGGATTCATACAGGGGAGAAACCCTATCAGTGCCTGGAGTGTGGAAAGAGCTTTACCACAGCCTTACATCTTACATATCACAGAAGAATGCACACCGGGGAAAAACCTTACAAGTGTTTGGAATGTGGAAAGAGTTTCAATTGCAGCAGTTATTTTATTTGCCATAAAAGGATCCACACAGGGGAGAAACCATATAAATGCCTGGAATGCGGAAAGCAATTCAATAGGAGCAGCCATCTTGCCTATCATAAAAGGATGCATACAGGAGAGAAACCGTACAAATGCACAGAGTGTGGCAAGAGCTTTTCATATAACAATGGCCTTAGGTACCATCAAAGAATCCATACTGGAGAGAAACCATATACCTGCTTGAAGTGTGGAAAGAAGTTCAGTGCAAGTGCAAACCTTATGATGCATATGAGAATCCACACCGGGGAGAAACCGTATAAATGCACGGAGTGTGGGAAGAGCTTCCGTCAGAACAGCGTCTTCATTTGCCATAAAAGGATCCACACAGGAGAAAAACCGTACGAATGCACAGAGTGCGGCAAGAACTTCCGTCAGAATAGTAACCTTATCATACATAAAATAATTCACACAGGAGAGAAACCGTACGAATGCACAGAATGTGGAAAGAGCTTCAGCCACAAAAGTCACCTCACGAGACATAAAAAAATTCACACGGGAGAGAAACCCTGTAAGTGCACAGATTGTGGAAAGAGTTTTAGTCGAAATAGTCACCTTATGAAACATAAAAGAATCCACACAAGAGAGAAACCATAATTTGGGAGTTTTCATCACCCAAGTATTTTCATCTTATAAAGGGAAAAATAGAAATATGGTGACTGTAAAGTTCAGTAGCCTTGTCAGACTTAAAGGAATCCACATGGCAGAACCATAAAAACACCCGAAGTGTGGAAATAAATTAAAAGAGTGTTGCACTTATTTCTCATAAGATGTCGTGTGGTGGGAAGAATGTCTGGAGTAAATGGAATTACCAGGACCAACCTTGTTTCTCCTTAAAAAAAATACAGGAGAAGATATATAAATACGTTTATGTGCTACATGGACTTAAATGTGCAACGTGTGGAAAGACCATATCCATTTGGTATAAAAAGTATACCTAGGAACAGATTAAAAAAACAACCCTGTTTTAATAAGGCATCCTAGAGTTGTTCCATTCAGGAGAGAAACTGTAAATGAGTGGAATGTGAAAAAGGTAGTGACAGCTGAACCTGCAAAGTGGCCATGACAAAGAACAACTTCATATTGTTATTCGAAAAGGAAACATAATAATTGCCAAATAATATTTCTGATTGGCTAATCCCATATGTCAAGCCATCTTTAAATACGATGCAGGCAAGAGATGAAGGGTTTGGATTATGACATGTGGATATTGTTTTGATCCTGTGAAGACATCTCTGATTAAAATCCTGGATCTGAGCTTCCCTTCTTACAACTTCCTCCATTTGGTTCTTCTCAGCTAATCAGTAATTATGACATTTTTTATAACATTATTTTTCTTCCAACCTGCAATGTTAAGGTTCCAGGTGGTCCAAGATAGGCCTTGTAGCTTAGTTCCTGAAATAGACCTCAGTTGCTATTTGCTGTCATTTGTTGGAACAAAAGAAATCCTAAATATACATCCAAAACATTTTCTCTGATAAAGAAAATGTGAAACAAGAATGAAAGAAGATTGAAAGGACTCCAGAGAGGAATGCCTGAAGGAGAAGAAATTATTGCTATTTATTATTATTATTATTATTGTGGTTAATCTTTAGTGAGATTCACAAACTTTGGGGCTGGTTGCTAGCTCAACAGCTCGAGTTCTAACCAAAGACCTAGGAACTGTTAACGTAGCATCGGAAGATATAAGCTGTTCCAAGTAGGGTGGTTTTTTTTGTAGAATCAGGTTATTCAAGTCTGATAAATTCAGAATTTCCAAATAGCGAGGTATCCCTTTCGGTATTGCTCCAAGGGCTCCAATTACAATTGGGATAACATACGATTTCTTTTTTCCAAAGTCACTCAACTTCCATTTGTAAATCCCAGTACTTTGTGATTTTTTTCTTGCTGCTTGTCTTCTAAATGTTAATTAACTCTGAATTTATTATTTATTCAGATCACAAATATTACACATGCATTTGCATAAATGTAAAAAAAGGTTGCTAGTAGTTCTGTTAATATAACATAAAAAATTTACTTTGTCAGGTTAAACCCACTACTCAATCAATGATCAATCTATCCAAGTGAATAATAATAGAAAAACATCATACAACATCAGTTATGATAATAACTTTGTTCAAATCCTTTTTGTCACAGCTAGGAGGGGCAGAATAACCGAGTAAGTACAACCAACAATTGTGAGGTGTTAAGAACATATGTGACAGATGTAGCATTTCACAAAAACAAATGGCTGCATATAGCCTTGCAGATTTGTCTGCATAAACATAAACCTATAAACACTAAATGCATTACTACACATATAAAGTTATATTTGTAAATAACTCAAAATAACAAAATCAGGGTTGTCTCAATTCACAACTATATTGTCTCAAATTTTTAGGTGAAGTTCATGAGAAGATGCTGACTGTCCTGGAACACACAGAGTGGATCCCCTCTCCTCCATCATAATCCATTGATCATGTTCTAAAAATAACAAAGTGTCAGCACAATCATTAAATTGCACAGTTTAACTATTCTTCTTGATTGAAATACATTTTATTATATATTAATTAGGTTTTTAAAAATGCTTACTTATGCATTTTCTGGCTGGATCTTTCACACCGTTTTTCCATAGCCAGTATGTCAATGTCTGGTTTTAGGTCTTGTGCTGAAGCAATCCATAGAACAGCATGGAGGTTCTCATCAGTGATACGTGATCTATGCTTGTTTTTGTTTAGATTCATTATTGAAAACATCTGTTTGCACAGATAGGTGCTCCCAAACATAGACAGAACATGGGCTGCATGACATTGAAGCTGTGGCATTGAACCAGGGGGTATTTTACGGTAAAAGTCCTGGATTGCAACATCCTTGAACTTTGCTTTCAGGCTACGATTGCTTTGAAGCTCGATTAACTCCATCTGAAGGTGCTGGGGTGCAGTGCAGACGTCGGTGGTGAAAGGATCGGCAAAGATGGCAAAGTCTGAGTGCTGCGCTTTAAAGTCAGAGAAGCCCCGATCAAACTCATTTATTAATCGGCCCACTGGTAGCCAACTGAGCACATAAAAAAACACCAGGAAATGAGGCTGAAATGCTTTGACAAACAGGAAAGTGAGCAAGATTGTCCTGTTTGACTTGGCACATCCACAGATCAAGTTTACGCTGGAAAGCTGTGATCATGTCGGACATCTGCGTAATGACTTGTCTACGTCCCTGCATCTTCTGATTCAGTTGGGCGAGATGCTCGGTTATGTCACACAACATAGCAAAGTCACACAGCCAGTTGGGATCTGACAGTTCAGACACGAATTTTCCTTTACTTAGCATGAAAAGAGCAATATCTTCCCTAAGTTCAAAAAATCCTTTGAGGACTTTACTCCTACTCAGCCACCATACTTCTGTATGGTACGGCACGTCTCTATACTCTGAGCCCATCTCCTGCAAGAACAGCTGGAACTGACGGTGATTCAGGCCACGCGCTCGAATGAAGTTCACAGTTTTCATGACTGTGGTCACTACATGATCCATCACCAGCACCTTCCCACACAACGTTTCTTGATGAATGATGCAATGATACGTTACCAGAGGCATCTGACAATTACTTTTTAGCATTTTGTCTTTTATTAGTCCAACCAAGCCTGCTTTTCCTCCACACATTGCGGGTGCAACGTCTGTAGTTAATCCCACCAACTTTTCCCAAGGCAATGCATTTTTACTCATGGACTTCTCTACCATATCAAAAATGTTCTGTCCCGTTGTGGTCCCATGCATGGCAGCTACATCCAACAGCTCCTCAGTGACAGAGAGGTCCAACTTCACGCCTCGAATAAAAATGGATAGATGCGCTGTATCCGTGTTGTCTGTGCTTTCATCAAGAGCTAATGAAAAAGCTATGTAGCTACGTGTCTCTCAGGCCAGCTGCGTCGACAGGTTTCCTGCTAGTCCTGTAACTCGGTCCACAATGGTGTTCCTTGATAAAGTGACATACTTAAAAGTCTGTATCTGGTCGGGGCACACCTGCTCACAGACCTTCAGCATGCACTGTTTCAAAAACGCCCTCTGAAAAACACTTTGAAGCTCGGGCGATTTCTTCTGCAACGCTGAAGCTAGCTTTCACTGCCACAGTGTTTTTGGTTGTGGCTTTCGTGAACACATTCTGCTGCAATTGTAGTTTGCTTTTTAATTTTTCAACAATCTGTTGTTTTTCTGAAAGGCTAACTTTGGCATACTTAGCTCCGTGTTTGGTTTCAAAATGCTGACGTAGATTGTACTCTTTGACAACCAATAATGCCTCGTAACATAAAAGACATACCGGTTTCTCTCCTTGAAGCACAAACATGTATTCACCGTCCCATCTTTCTTGAAACATCCTTCCATCTGCATCAACTTTCCTCTTCCTGGACATTTTGGGATCATTTGTAATTCCACATAATTCAACTTGCAGAAAATAACATTGATGTGGATACACTGCAACCTAGTGGTGGGATGTCGACAATTCGCTGGTAACATAATTGGTATGCATTCTGGGAAATGTAGTTTGTGGTCAATGCTCTCTTGCTTTATTTATTTAAAGACAATTGGAACTTTGTAGCTCTCGCGGGCCACATAAAATGACGTGGCGGGCCACATTTGGCCCGCGGGCCTTGAGTTTGACACCTGTGCTATACTCAAATCCAAACTTTTGGCACAGTTTCCAGTGAATGGTTTTAGCAACTCAGTTATGGCGGTTATGGTTCAGTTTGTGAAATTTTGCTGCACCCACTGATTAAATGGTCAACTGTTTCATCTTTCTCATTACAGAGGCAGCATTTGCTGTCAGTGGTGACATGCTGAATCTTTTGCCTTCATGCAGTTTGTGGCTAAGGCTTTTTTTTTGAGCAGCCAAAATAAAGCCTTCAGTTTCTTTTTTCAGTATTCCTGATTTTAACCAGTTCCAAGTAAGCCTTTTGGTCAGCTTTGCCTTCAATGCTTTTCAAGTATTGGCCAGGCATAGCTTTGCTTTTCCAATTTTCAGTTCGCTTCTCAATTACTCCTTTTTTGTATTCAGCTTTTGACTTGGTTTCTTCAAAAGGCCTCCTTTATGTACTTCCTTAATCATTGGCTCTTCACTTTTATGGATGTAGTCATTCCAGCCATGTCTTTCTTCTTCTACAGTCTGCTTTACTTATAGGAGACCTTGACCACCCTCTGCTCTTGGTAAATACAGTATAATCGATCAACATCACTTTTAGGGTGCAATGCCTGATTCATAGTGATAAGCTTCCTTGTTTTTCTGTCCAAATTGTCCAGCTCCATCTGGGTCCAGTCAACTATTCCTGCAGAGTATCGAATCACAGGTATAGCCCAGGTATTTATTGCTTTTATGATGTTTCCAGCACTCAGTTTGGACTTTAAAATCTTGCATATTCTTCGAATGTACTTGGCTGAAGTTGATTCCTTGACTTTATTATACATTAAATTAGAGGCTTCTAAAATCCCTAAGTACTTGTAGTTTTCTTTTGGTTTCATTGCCTCATTTCTTTTTCATTTCTTTCATTTTCATTTCTTCATTTTCAAGTTCTATTCCATCATCTTCTATGACCTTGCCTGCTTGGATTGCCATTGTTGCACATTTGTCAATTCCAAAGTACATGCCGATCTCCTGGCTAAATTCTTTTGTGTTTTCAATTAGTGAATTCAGTTCACTTTTTGTTTTACCAAACAGCTTCAAATCATCCATGTACAACGAATGCGAAATTTTCAATCCTTTCTTTGCAAGTTCGTATCCACCTTCTTTAAAATGGTTGTCAGTGGTAGCATTGACAGAATAAATAGTAGGGGTGAAAGGGAATCACCCCGGAAGATGCCTCGTTTAATTTCAACTTCACCCAGTTCTTCTCCATTAGCCATAGGCTTCGTTTTCCAGAGGTTCATTGAAATTTCCATGAATTTTTGAATGTTGCCGCTGATGCCAAAGATTTCTAGGCATTTCTTAATCCAGCCGTGGGGGACTGAATCAAACTCTTTCTTGTAGTCTATCCAAGCCATGCACAGGTTGGTTCGGCTTTTCTTTGAATTCTTCAGAATTAGCTTGTCAATCAGCAGCTGGTCTTTTGTTCCTCTTGAGTTTTTGCAACACCCTTTCTGTTCCACTGAGAGCAGATCTTTCCTTTTCAAGTATCCATAAATTTGATTTGCAATTATGCCAGTAAGAAGCTTATAGCTTGTTGGCAAGCAGGTAATTGGTCGGTAATTTCCTGGATCATTTCCTTTGTCTTTCTCTTTCTGAATTAGCCATTCATCATTTTCAGGCATTTTTATAATTAGGTTCATTTGGACAACAAGTCTTTCATGTAAGCTCGTTAGTGCCTTCAGCCAAAAGCCATGTACCTCATCTGGTCCAGGTGCACTCCAGTTCTTTATTCTTCTTGACTGCCTTTGAACCATTTCCTTTGTTATTTTCACATCTTCCATTTTGGGCACTCACTGAGGACTCAATCTGTTTTTTCTTTATCAGGCTTTTCATTTGTTATTACACCGTCTTCCCTTTCCAGGTTCTTATTAAACTGGTGCTGATTTGCTCTGAACTGTGAGTTTTGTTGAAACTGGATT